GATGCCAGTGATTGACAACAGGCTATTTATTTCCTCATCTCTTTAGACTGTGCATGTTCCTTCCCAGAATTCAGTCTGTTATAATGATATTAATGAATTTCCAGGCATATGTATGATGTTATAATGATGGTATAATGAGGCCCAGGTAAAATGAAGGTCCGTATAGCCTTTACTGTGCAGGTAAAGTGGGTGACTGGTTTAATCCAGTCGGGTATTTTGTACCCATTTATTTCCCCATAGGGGTGGATAATTACAATGAAAAGGGGAAGTTTTGGGTGGAGAGGGGAGGTCTTTTGGGTGGTGCGTTCTGTGGGACGTGCAGGAATGCAGAGACCCAATGTCTGCCTCTAACTGCCTGCCTTGTTTTCCCCTTGAGAGACATGATCCCCATAAAATCTCTGGGAAGTTGAGGGACAGGAGGTCTTTTCTTATGTATCTACTTCCTGCTGAGCAGGGGCATAGAGCTGTCCCTGCCTATTTGGGGGATTCATGGCGCTCTCACCCTATCTGATCTCAGATGAGAGGAAGGGGTCTCAAGATCTGCCTGAAAGACCAGGTTGGCTTCTTTGGTTGCGACTGGCAATCTTGTTGGGGTACTCTCTGTATCCCCAAGGCTGTTAAATGAGGAAAAATATATTTTAATTAAGAAAGTTCTTAAAGAGCAGAGCTCAAAGCTATTGACGTAGGGTGGCTAAGGGTTTGGAAAGAACATTAGGCTTTAATGTTTACAATCAACAAGTATACTGACCTGGGGAAATGTTAAAACCTATTTAGTCTCTGGGATGGGATTATCCAAGCTGTTAGGTCAGGAATGGTTTGGTGAATATTGGGAAGTCACAAGCTTTTAAGTAGTTATCTAAAGCAGGGGGTGGGTGAGAGATATTCTGTGATTCAGTCTAGGGGCAATCTGTAGTCTAGGATTCAGAAACTGATTAGAAGAGTAATCAAAGCCAGGGACCAAAAAACTAGGTGTTAAGTCTAAGGCTCCTGAACAAAACTTGTATAAGAGAATTTTCGTTCCAAAGAGTTTATGACCAGACCTGGGGCTGTCTCTCAAAGGGGAGACTAGCAGCTAAGTCCTAGTGGGTAAGGGTTTTATAGCTGAAGTTGGATACAGAAGTAAAAAAAAACAGTTAGTGTGTAAAAAAGGAAAAAAATGGTTAGTTTATCTTATTTTAACAAACTATAAAACATAGTTAGGTTATTATTTTTAACGAGCTATAATATATAACTTGCTTATCTTCTTGACGGGCTATAAAACATGTCTTGTTTATTCTTTTCTAACAAGCTACCTAACTTATCTTTTCCCAGTCTCTTGTCAAGAAGCTTTGTTTAACTTTTGCTGAAGCAGGAGCTTTTTAAATTCCTTTGGGGGTGGTGGGTGGGGGGAAGGGTGCCCCAGCCTAGGGCTAGTCCTCAACATTGGGAAGAGGAATCTTTAAAATTTCTATAAGAGGGCTGGCCAAGTGGCTCAGTTGGTAAGAGCGGGAGCTCTGAACAATAGGCCTGCAGGTTCAATTTCCACATGCACCAATAAGTTGCACCCTCTACAGCTAAGATTGTAAACAACAGCTCGACCTGGAGCTGGGCTGCCATGAGTGACCAGCGACGGTGTAGTCACTGCAGTGGGCTGCTGTCAGCTGCCCTGAGTGGCCATTCAATGGCCAGCAACTGACTGCCCCAGCCAGGAAGAGCACAATGATCATAATACCAACATGGGCCAGTGAAGCGACGTCCTCCACAACTAGACTGAAGAACAAAAGGACAACAACTTGGCTGTTCCCCTTCCCCAATTCCCCAATAAAAATCTTAAAAAAAAAAAAAGTTGTTTGGTGGGGGGGTGGGGAGAGGGGGTAGTTGCTTGGCCCAAGTCACCAACCAGGCCCTGTTTCAATACTTCTTGACTGCCAAGGTCAGGCTAAAGCCAGTAGGGCAGCACCCTTGACTTTTGTGCTTGCTTCATTATTCCAGACTTGGCCCTGGTTCTTCCTGACTTTCTTTCTGTCCCTTCTGCATCTCTCCCATGCTACTAACCTGGACTCTCCCTACACCCAGGCAGCACACTATATGGCCTGGTACAGGGAAAGTATAGGGCTTTAGAGCCAGCAGACCTGGCTCCAGCCTCTCTGTGTCCGCTCGCAGGTCTCTGGGTTTCATTCTCCTCATGTGACAATGAGACAAATGCAACACTGAAGGCTCAAGATGGTTCTGAGCATCAAATAGTATAATAAAATTCATTCATTCCTTCCTCTAGCAGATAGTTTTAAAATATCAACTGTGAGCCAGCCCCTATGCTAGAGATACGTTGGAGAGCAAAACAGAAGTAGAACTGTTTTTCAGGGAACATGGGGAACAGGCAGCAAACACACACACACACACACACACACACACACACACACACACACTAATATACAATCACAAAGCCAGAAAGTACTGGAACACAAAAAACAGCTGATCTAGCTGTCCCTGGCCTCACCTTTCCTTGACCTACCTGTAGCTTAACAATAGATCATCCCCCTGTGGCTTGAGCTCAGAATGTCCCGTCCCACCCAGTTCCCTGTTTTAGAAAATTACTCTGAAATTTATGATTAATACCCTTAGGCTTATTGATCACAATCTCAATGGTCTATCAGGCTACTCCCATCATTGTTCCTGGGTTGCTGACTCCAGAATCACGGGGCCAGAAGAAAAGCTCCATGCAGACCCCAGGAACCTTCAAGTAGCCTTTGGAATAATGCCCAATGTTGCGTCCCGCACGACATGAGCAGTGGGAGAACAAGAAGGGGCGGCAAAGGGTTAAGAAATAAAAGAAACAGCAGTCAAGAGTTAAATGAGCATGGGGCCAAGGGTCTCCAGCCTCGTGGACTAAGAGCCACGAATCAGGCCGACACACCGCTTTTATTTCTCCACCTACCCGAAAGTAGCATTGTTCTCTCCACAATCTGTGAGTCTCATTCCTGAGAACTTGCTCAAACCAAATTACCCATGCATGCAAGCTGCTATTACAGAGAGTCCGCCTGCGGGCGATAAGACAGATGCTCTGCCTTCACACACACCCTATGTGGAAACGACCCCAGGAAGATAAGATTATTGTGCTGAGGATAGATACTATCACACCATCAGGTCACTTCCCAAGCAGGTTGAGGGAAGGAATATAGCCACAGAGGTAGAAAACCTCCAGTCTTTTTGGGGGGCGAGTGAGGGCTCGTGCCCACCTCCATCTGCCTCGAGATTTCTCCTAATGGCCTCCACCTGAACGTGCCTGTCTTAGGTTGTTTCTCCCACGAGGAATCTTACCCGTCATTGACTAACCGGCCATCCTTTGGAGCCAAACAGAGAGACGCAAGGTGTATGAACAGTGTCCTCAAAAGGGT